GGCAGCTGTTCGCAGAGGTGGGTTGTGGAGCCGCTGATTAGTGTTTGGTGAGAAGGACGCACTGGCACCCCCTGGCCAGGCCCACAAGGAGGAATATTTAGATTTCATTCACCCTCCAGAAGTCACACAGCATTCTCCCACCTTTCGTCAGCCTCTGGGGCCAGAGGACCCTCGGCACACGGCAGGGCCACTCATTCCCCTGACTGATCAGGAGCTGGGGCCCCCAGAGGGTCTCGCCTCCTCTGGCCACTGCTGAGCCAGCCAGTGCAGGTGCTGGGCTGAAACACCTGTGTCCTGTTCCTCCCATTGTGCTAAGAAGGAAGAGAAGCCTGGGCACTCTGCTGGGCCGGGTCGAGTCAACGGGGGCAGACCATGCACGCTGAGGCACCGGCTGGCTCCGGTGTCACAGGCCCTGGGCTTGCTGACTCTCAGAGTCTCTTCTGAGAAGCAAAGCTTGGGTGCACCTGCACGGCGGCCCCGAGCCTGAAGAGAAATCAGGGCCCTCGATCCCATGGAAAAGCCACAGCAGGGCCCTTCCCCTCCTATGCAGCCTGCTCAGCCTCCTGTGCTTAGTCTCATATGCCCGTGGTTGACTGTATAGCTCAGTGATGGCGAACCTTTTGAGCTCGGCGTGTCAGCATTTTGAAAAACCCTAACTTAACTCTGGTGCCATGTCACATATAGAAATTTTTGATATTTGCAGCCATAGTAAAACAAAGACATATTTTTGATATTTATTTTATATATTTAAATGCCATTTAACAAAGAAAAATCAACCGAAAAAATGAGTTCGCGTGTCACCTCTGATACGCGTGTCATAGGTTCGCCATCACTGGTATAGCTGCAGGCTGGCCATTCGGACGGGGGCTGGTTGTAGTTGGCAGGATCTTCGTCTTATCTGGTTGGGTGTTTTGCACTATCTGTGAGAGTCCAGTGAATGAAAACCAAGCCACTGCTGAGAAGTTAAATCTTGGAAGAATAAGTGTGTGGAAGGACAATAAATAAGATGGGAAGTCCTATTAGGCCATTCTTACCATTTGGTAAGAATTCTCTGGAAGAAAGGGAGAAGGACCTCAGCCTTCTTGATGTGTTTCAACGTATCCAAAGGCCAACTAGCATTAGCGGACTTCACAGCCCCGTTTGAAGAGTGCTGGGGTGCCTGCGAGCCTGAGAATGGAACATTTCCCCTGCTCCATGAGGGGTCTGTGCCCGCTCTTTATCTCTGGGGACCATGCCCGTTGGCTTGGAGCTCACATCTCTCACCATAGCAAGCAGCCGCGGTGAGTGACCACTGAGCCTCTCCAAGAACACCTCTGGGACTACCCTCCGATGTCAGTGGAAATTCTCCCTTGCCAGAGGGGAAACAGAGCCTTTTAAAGAGAAACAAGAGTGTTAGGGTTTTGCTTTGTTGCTTTTTCCCCCCCTCACATTGAAGAAAGTCTATGGCTGACAATTTTCTTTTCCTTTGACCTCTTTAAAAAGCAACTGGAGTTGCAACAGCTCTGCTGAAATTTTATATGGCCTTTTGCTTCAAGGACTTTGAAACGAGCATTGTTGATTTTTCTTCTTTCCTGTCAACCTCTGTCCTATTTCCCTAGTGTTTTATATTCACTGCCTGGATGCTTTTGAATATAGTAACTCTCACTACAGAAGGCCTTCTGACTTCCCTGTGGCCTGAACTATAGGTATGTTTTCTTTCTGAAAATCGGTAAACACGATTGCGAGCGGGAGCAGAACGGCTTTGTGATCAGCAGAAGGGGAGATACCAGTCCCAGAACTGCTGCCACCTCCGCTGTGCAAACAAGGCTTCTGCCTGGTGTGGAAACATCCGTGTCCCCGCACACAGACCTCTGTGTTATTTAGGCACCGTCCAGGATCTGAGTGTCTGTTTGTCATCCAAAGGGTATGAAAGGGAAATCAAACATTCTTTCATATCAGTATAAGCCTTGTGCAAACACAGCCCCATGGACAAAGCCCTTTCCCGGGCCCATAACAAGGAGCTGTTTGTCCTGGCTGCCCGTCTTTAGCAGACGGAGCAGGGCTGAGCTGACAGTGGTGTAATGTGTGTTGTTGTGATTTTGTTCTCTTGGGCCAAAAAGTTTCATAGGTGTCATGGGGCAGCGTTCACCATGCGCAAGTAGAATCACAGCGCCCACTGGCAGCCTTCGGCTAAGGCCGCGTCCAGTGGGCTCAGAGCTACAGAGAACCTGACAGAGCAGGTGCACCCGGCCGTGGAAAAGCCACATGGTCGTTTGTGATTGCCTTTGTGCACGGGGATTCACTAGTCACAGAAGCCAGGATCTGGGCTCCTGTCCGCCTGCATCTGATGTCAGCAAAGAAAAGGCCTGAGCTCAGGATAAAATTTCTCCATCACCCTCCCCTCAGCCAGGCAGACATAATGCTGCACCTTCGGAGTATTAGCGAGGACTTGGTTTCCTCACCCAGAAATACTCTGATCAATGAAACTCAGGTTTAATTGACCTATTTTTCTGATTCCTCAGTTTCATTGAGTCCAGTACAATAGCCACACGTGGCTGGTGAGCCCCAGAATTGTGGCTGGTTTATGACATGTTGTAGGTGTCATATACGCCTCGGATTTTGAAAATTTAGTGCCTCCCATCCAAAAAAGTAAAATATCACAGTAATTTTCTATTCATTACATGTTGAAAATATTTTGGATCTATAGGGTTCGAGTCAATATTTTATTAGAATTAATTTCACCTGTTTTCATTTCTTTGAATTATTTTAATCAGTGGCTACTAGGAAATGTAGAATCACAGATGCAGCCGGCATTGTTTGCATTGGACAGCGCTGGGCAGGCGCTTGAAGGAAGTGTAGGTGCATAGCGCCATCTGCTGGTCCGTCTACGGCAAACTCTATCTAGCGTAAGCAAGCATGAAGCAGCCTGTGCTGGGAAACTCAGCAGAACAATGTGCTACCTTCCTTTTCTAGGAGCTTCTGAAACAGAAGCAGAACTGAACGCCGAAGTCCCTAGGGCAGCCGTGGGCAAACTACGGCCCGCGGGCCGGATCCGGCCCGTTTGAAATGAATAAAACTAAAAAAAAAAAGACGGTACCCTTTTTTTTTTTTTAATATATTTTATTGATTTTCCACAGAGGAAGGGAGAGAGATAGAGAGCCAGAAACATCGATGAGAGAGAAACATCAATCAGCTGCCTCCTGCACATCTCCCACTGGGGATGCGCCCGCAACCCAGGTACATGCCCTTGACCGGAATCGAACCTGGGACCCTTCAGTCCGCAGGCCGATGCTCTATCCACTGAGCCAAACCGGTTTCGGCAAGACCGTACCCTTTTATGTAATGATGTTTACTTTGAATTTATATTAGTTCACACAAACACTCCATCCATGCTTTTGTTCCGGCCCTCCGGTCCAGTTTAAGAACCCATTGTGGCCCTCGAGTCAAAAAGTTTGCCCACCCCTGCCCTAGGGTCTTCAGTAAGGATCCTGAAAAGGGTGGTGTCCAACTGCTGGAAGCTGCAGGCCTGTGTTTACCTCATGAGTGCTGAGGAGACTCTAGAAGGCTGTGGTTCTTAAATGTTGCAAACCGCCACAGACAAGGTTGTCACCAAGCATTTAACAATAGGAGGAGGACACAGATCCATCCCTCAAGAGACGGGAGTCCTCTCTTTGAATAATGCTGATTGGCTTTGATTTGTCAAGAGTTTGAAAGTGAGACTCTTGCTGATAATAATATCTGCACCAGTTATCTATTGCTGCTTTGAACAGACTACCCCAAACTTTGTGGCTTAAGACAACAAAAATCGTTTTAACGCCTCCCACTGTTTTATGGGTCAGGAATTCAGACGTGGCCCATCTGAGCACTTCTGGCTGGGGAACCTCATGAGGTGGAAGTCAGATCCAGGTGGCCTCACTCCCGACTAGCTTTGCAGGCAACCAGTGCAACCTCATTCTGCTCAGTCTTTCTGCTGGCCAAATCCTGGAAACTCAACTCAGGTGCCGAGTCCATGTCAGGGAGGGAGAAGGAGGCCACACGTCAGAAAATCCACGTCCTGGGTGGCTCATTCATGTGACTGGCAAGGTGATGCCGGTAGTTGACTGGAGGCCTCAGGTCTTCTCCACAGGGGCCTCTCCACAGGGCATAGCTGGTTTCCTCCACAAAGAGCGACGAGGAGGCCTCAGGGGAAACGGCAACACCTTTGATGACCGAACCTCCAAAGTTACACCATCGCTCCTGCTGCGCTGTATTGGTCGAGGCAGGAATGTGCATCCTCTCGATAGAAGAAGGTCAAGAAGGTTTCTTGTAAAAGAAAATGTGAGATGGGACGGCCGTTGCATTTTGGAAAACACAATCTGCCAAAGCGCCTACCACTGGAAGACTAAAAGCACGGCCTGTTTTCCAGATGAGCACACTAGGGTTTAGAGAAGTGAAGTAACTTGCCTGAGGTCTCACATCTGGTAGGAATGACAAAAGTCCAGTCTGACTCCTTGTCCATGCTGGAGCAGCCTGTCCAAGTCACCGCCCTGCCTCCCTCATGCCGTGGTACCTAAGCATCACGCTGGCTGTTCCATCTTTCCGGCATCTTCGGGGTGTGTGATGCTCTCTTCACTCGAGTGTTTCAGACCGTTCTCTAGGTGGTCTCTTTCTATACGTAGTCGTTTTGTTGTGTTGTGGCTCAATGGAAGCAGGTTTCAACCAGCTAGAGAATCCTTCTTACTAAAGTGCTGTAGCAATGAAAAAGTTCCCATTTCCCAGTGTTTTCCATGCTGCTTGCTTCAAAAATCTCAGGGATGATAAGCACCATGTAATTTGTGTGATCACATTCTGTTTGATTATCTGAATATTACATCGGATTTATACTTGAAACAGGAAAGGATTAATCACAGCTTGCTCTCAGTAGTTCCCACATTACTCGGTCATCTTCAAAAGGAGGTTTTTTACCATGCTTTGATGTTCTACCTGCCAGAATGAAAACTAAAAATCCAGCTGCCGTAATCATCTGTTATTCTTGGTTCCAGGTCAAACTTCCCTTTCCTGTAGATCAAATCACAGATCTTCCGAGGAACGACTTCCAGATGATGATTAAGATGCACAAGCTGACCTCAGAACAGTTAGAGTTCATTCACGACGTCCGGCGGCGCAGCAAGAACCGCATCGCGGCCCAGCGCTGCCGCAAGAGGAAACTGGACTGCATTCAGAATTTAGAATGTGAAATCCGCAAATTGGTGAGTTGGCCCTCCCATTGCTATCTGCACCCTGGAGTGACAGGACTGATGCAAAGGTACAGCAGTGAAGGCTGAAGAAGTCAAGGGAAGGGTCACCATTCAGGGAAGTTTGGGTTCATTTGTAAACAAGTTTCTCAGCAAAAATAATAGCTTTATATCCACAATGGGTGTGTCTGTGAGGGTGAGTAATCACGTGTCGATATTTTATATAGAGGTAGTTCTTTCCTATTTTCCATTCAGTGTGTTCTAATAGTTAACATTTATCACATGCATATGTGGACCAGGTATTATTCTGAAGTATTTTTGTAGGTTAATCCTCACATCAATAGACTTAGATACTATTTTATCTCCATTCACAGAGGCAGAAACAAGAGTGCAGAGGGGTTAGGTAACTCCCCGCCATGTGGCATAACTTGGCTGCCAACCCAATTGTCTGATTCCAAACCTTGTGTTTTCTCCTGCCTCCCACAGAGGAGTGGGTTAGAGGTAGGACGCCTGCCTACTGTGAGGCAGCTCAGCTCCTGAAGCCCTTCCCTGTCCCAGGGTCCTTGATGTTGCAATTCTGCCTCGACGTGATTATCACGTCCTCCCTATGCCTGAGAGTATTTTGTGTCAGGGAACAAGCTCCCATCCCCCAAGCTTCCTGTCCCTCAGAGCTGTGTGCCCCTTCTTCTTGAAATGCAACCTTAAGCTACAGGAATAAACCCAGGTGGCCTCACTCCTGACCAGCTTTGCAGGCAACCAGTGCAACCTCATTCAGCTGGACCTTTCTGCTGGCCAAATCCTGACACTCAGCTCAGGTGCTGAGTGTATGTCAGGGAGGGAGAGGGAGGCCACACAGTGTGGTCATGATCTCCGCTTGGGTCCTCAGACTGCACGCAGCAATCCTTTGCCTCCTGGTAAGCCACCGACCTAAAGCAAACCTAAGAGCCAGGCGTTTGAAAAGCATGAATAAATGTTACGAGTTATTTTTTAAGACTTTATTTTTTATATATATTTTTATTGATTTCAGAGAGAGGAGAGGAGAGGGGGAGATAGAAATATCAATGCTGAGAGAGAATCATTGATCGGCTGCCTCTTGCATGCCCCACGCTGGGGATCGAGCCTGCAACCCGGGCATATGCCCTGACAGGGAATCGAACCATGACCTCCTGGTTCATAGGTCAATGCTCAACCATTGAGCCACACTGGTGAGGCAATGTTATGGGTTATTAAGATAGTCCTGGACCTCAGAGTCCTTTTTGTTATTTAATTAACACCACCAAGCAGGGAAAACCTGCCCATCTTCAGTGGCTCCTGTCATGTACAAATAAAGCCCACACTCCTCAGTGAGACAGCTGGTGCTCTCCAGGAGTCAGTCTGTCTTGCTCTCCAGCACCCTTCCACTCTCTCCCTACAACTTGCCCCCGAATAAAATCAAACTGTCTCACCCTCCAACATCTCCTACTCTTTACACCTCTGTGCTTGTGCCTCTGTTGTTTCCCCTCTACCTCGGACATCTCCGTTTATCTTCTCTAACTCTACTGTGCTCTTTAAGACACAGGTAACTGTCCCCTCTCCGGAAGCCCCTTCCTGAGCCCCTGTGAGGCTGGCACCTGCCCTGGAGCCAGTCTGACCTCTGGCTTCATGCTTGTCACATTATTAGTCTTGCATTGTCTGTGTCTGCCGCCCCAGCCCCTTGCCCAAGACTATAGGTTTGTTGATCATCTCTGGATTTCCAGTGCAGACCCATTGAAACCTCTCAGGAAATGTCCGTTGACCTAAAATTGCAACTGGGTCGTGGAATTATGAATGACTTCTTTGTTTCAGATTTTTCTTCAATGTTGTTTTAAGAACAACAAAACGTTTTTAATTTAAGCCAAGCACCACATTGCTGCTGGTGAGTGTGGGTCTTCTGAAAGCCTGCTGGGCTTAGGTGGGGAACCAGGCCAGGCTGGGCCCACAGGTACCAGTCGGCAAGGTCTTAGGCCCAAGTCTGTAGGAATGCCGGGCCGACACTCTTCTTCAGGCGATAGGATAACCCTAACCACCCATATTTGAGAAATGCCCAATTTTTGTTTAGCATTCCTCTCCGTGCAACTGTGTGATATAAACAAATAATAAGTCTGCGCCATACACCAGGCAGACATCTAAAGCTCTTGCTAATATTGTTCAGTTGGGAAGCCAAGAGGGCATCTGGTTCGCGCCTCCCACCACCACCACCACCACCACCACTTTTTTGGAAACCCCTTAAGTAACATGCGGCATTTCACCACCAAATGAGTTTCACATGCTCGTCAGTGTACAGCTAGCTGTGCCCTAGAGCTTCCCGCTTTCAACCAAGTCTTGATGTGTGCAGTGAGCCAAAACACCGCACACATAGCATTTCATCCTCTTCACCCCAGAAAGTGACCCAGGACATTTTGCAGGTCAGTAGGTGTGGAGGGGTCACTGGCCTGGCCAAGATGATGTGGCAGAATTAAGATTGAGATTCCCTCAGAGTCCCCTCCCAGGCTGTGTGGTGTTGCCTCTTTACAGCCTTCCAGGTTGCAGCACAGAAGGTCCAGGTTGCACAGCCTGGATGGTTTTGGCTTCTTACCCACCACCCTCTAGCTGGGGAGCTGCGCCCACTCGCCTGGCCTGAGTGGCAGGTGGCTCTGGCAGGGCCAACTCCGATCCCGCCCACAAGTCCCCAGCACGACACTCTCACTCCCCACTCCCACGCTGTCTCCGGCATGCCACTCAGCTTCTACAAACTTGCATAATGTATTTCTCTCGAGTTGCACTTGTACATCTGTTTATTTTTCATTTTTAAAACATGTTTTCTTGGAAAATTTATAAATATTTTAGCAGGTGCCCTTTCCCCATATAAATCTCTGTCTCTGACAGACTTGCACACGCTGCCTGCCGGGCTGCATTGGAGATGGGCACGTGCAGCTTGTGAGGAGCCCCCACGTGCCCGCCGGGCTGCGTTCGAGATGGGCACGTGCAGCTTGTGAGGAGCCCCCACGTGCCTGCCGGGCTGCATTTGATTTAAGGCATCTGCAGCTTGTGTAGGAGCCCTCACATCAGATGTGTGCCCCCCACCCTCTCACTCTGTCCCCCGCTTCATTTTCTCTCCCATCCTCACTCCACGCTGCCCTCGATGTGTAGTTTCTCCATGTCACTGTGTGCCCTCTCTGGGGCCTCCTGATCCTCTCTCCTCACACAAGTAGTTGTGGTAAAACTTAAACCCCTCTCCCCTCTGGTGCTAAATTCCTCTCTCTGAGGGGCTGATGGACTGGAGAAGCACAAGAGCTTGTGTGGAATTTTCCTGAAGGAAAACACCTGAGAACCTCGGTCTCCACAGCCCTGTGTGCCCTCTTGCTGTCCAGGGAGAGTCAGCCTCACTACCCGGTCCCCAGCCGTCCTAACCAGAGTCCGTGTGCTCAGTCTGCAACAAAGGCCAGCGAGCCTGCTGAGGTTGGATGGAACCATCTGAAATGGCCAGTAATCACATTTTTTAAATTTTCATAGCTTAAACATTTTCAAGAAGTTGTAGGTTCATAGCCAAATTGAATAGCAAACACACAATTCCCACATGCCCCCTGCTCCTGCACACTCCCAGCCTCCCCCATTATCAACATGCCCCACCAGTCACATTTGTTACAATTGGTGAACCTACACTGGCGCATCAGAATCGCCCAGTTGCCCTGACTGGTTTCGCTCCTTGGATAGAGCATCTGCCCATGGACTGAGGGGCCCCAGGTTTGATTCTGGTCTAGAACACATACCTCAGCTGAAGGCTCCATCCCTGGCCCTGGCCGGGGCCCACCGATCGATGTGTCTCACTCACATCAATGTTTCTCTCTGTCTCTCCCTCTCCCTTCCACTCTCTCTAAAAATAAATGGAAAACTATCCTCGGGTGAGGAGTAACACACAAAAAAATCACCCAAGTCCACAGTTCATATGAGGGCTCACTCTTGGGGTACAGTCCATGGGTTTGGACAAATGTATAATAAACAACATAATACCATGTATCTATCACACAGAGTAGTTTCACTGCCCTAAAAATTCTCTATGCCCTGCCTATTCGTCCTTTCCACCCCACCCCAACCCCCTGGCAACCACTGGTCGCCATACCTCTGCCTTGCTCAGTTATTTTTGACCTTCAGAAATGGCAATCTAATGCATCTAGGGGAGATTGTCAGCTCTTGGTTTGAGACCAAGAGTTTTCCAGTTGATCCCCTGCACAAATTCCAAGAAACAGGAACCTTGACTCCCGGAAGTGCTCTGAGCCCCAGCCAGTTTGGCTCAGTGGATAGAGCGTTGGCCTGAGGACCAAAGGGTCCCAGGTTCAATTCCTGTCAAGGGCATGTACCTCGGTTGCAGACTCCTGGCCCTGGTCCACGGCGTGTGTGGGGCAACCAATAAATGTGTCTCTCTCACATCTGTGTTCCTCTCTGTCTCTCCCTCTCCCTTCCACTCTCTCTAAAAAAAAATCAACGGAAAAATGTCTTCGGGTAATGATTAAAAATATAATTTAAAAAAATAAAA